AACATACTCTTCATTTCTCACTGGTACAATCATTTCTTATTTGACAACAACTGCATATTTCTTGCAGAAGTTTAATCTTATATGAAGTTTCTAGTTTCACTGATTTCTAAATATTAAGATTACTGTTCTGAAAAGTGAATTATCGAGAGTCAATGAAAAAAAAGCCACCCTCAATTTAAAGAAACAGAAATAAAAAAAAAAGAAACTTGAAAAAATATGATAGTGCAGAAGCTTTTTTTCTTTCTTGCGAACTGCAACCTATGCCTCACAACGGAGCTTTTGAAAAAAATTCTATCTTTTTCAGGAACAGTCACAATCTCCTCTTCTCCCTTATTTCTGGAAAAGCGACTCTTGAAACTTCGAGGAAACTCCCTTCCCCTCAAGCCTTCAAGGACTAGAACTCCAGTCCAAGAGTATTCTGCAGACCCAGCTGCACAGCAAACAGCTTCAGAAGTATTTAAGTCAAGCCCTTGCGTACTACTCGCTGAAGAGATGAACAAATCCAAACAGTTAAGAATCAACGCGTAAAAAATACAAACTTTAAATCCGATAACAACACAAACATCCCACAGAGTCACCAAGTAGCTACTTCAGAGTCCGCTATACCCGTAATATGACAATACTAACACTATGGTGACACGCGCCTTAGATCCTGAACACAATACACCTCCCACTCCTAGTTCACATGCCCCCAAAAAGCCGAAACAAAAGAACGGCAGCTACAACACGGGTTGTACAAAAACTCGGCAACTTTATTAAAATCCCGCATTAAACCATACTACTTATCTTCCTACTAATTTTTACCAACATATTAGACCGTTCCAGACAGTGAAAGACAGTAAAACAATCAAAATCGAAACTCATGATACGACGTCCAAGAATACGTTTCACTGTGATCAGACGAGTCAAGAGTCCTACTTCCTTTGACCATTAATAAAAAGGAAGTAACTACTAAGCTCTCCAAAGATTTTTCGCAAGATCAGTATCAAAATAGAACAAGAATAAAAAAGCTAAACCGAATCACCTGCCAAACAAAGCAATAACTTCTGAAAGTACGACCAGAAAAACAGTACGTTAAGATTAAAACAGAGAATTTAAAATGATCTGGAAAGTAGCAGCTATTCTGTATCACACCAAAAAATTAAAAATAGCAATCTATACAAACTAACCACTCAAATTACAGCGACAGATAAGATTAACCAACACATACATATAAATGGCTGATCCTCCACAGCATTCGCAGGAAGACCAGCCGACTTTTCGAAGCACAAAACTCCAGACAGTCGGAAAAAAAACTCTTGCCACTTGATCAATACGTTACTGATCCCCCAAAACGCGATACACGAGGTACAAAGTAAAAATTAAGACTCCATTAGATGCAGCAAATTTGCGAGAGCCATCCACCGTTGGTAAGTCAACTCACACGAAATGTACATATCAAGTCAGACAAGTTTAAAGAAGTCTGGGTTCTACTAGGGAATAGAAGTTATCAGATATGCATCATCAAGCTGAACACCGGAAAGCAAATCTCAACACGAACAACTCGAATTTTCCGCTGCAGATCCGGAACCTTCTCCTAACACGTTTAACCTGGAGGTTGTGCGCTCAGCCTCCCACAGACCGGGGGTTTGAATGATCTAAACGAAACAGATTGAAACTACTGATACACTATTCCACCTTTTATATCAAACTTATACAAAGACCAAATCCCACTCATGATATGAAAGAGACCTAATACCTTTTCAATAAGTTCCTCAAATGCACACTGCACTCCTTCACGAGTTTTCGCACTTGCCTCAATAAACAACATTCTGTGCTTCTTCGCAAATGCTAATCCTTCTTCACGTGTAACTTCTCGATCCGTCTAAAGCAAATAATTATTAAAAGTTTTAAAAAAAGCCAACTAAATAAAATTGGGCTAAAATTAAGCCCTCCCATGTCAATTTTATTGCCAACGAGCATCTTAACAGCATCCGATTTCGTCGAGTAGGTGTCAACTTCAACCATCCAGTGAGTTAAATGATCAAAAGTTGACCTGTTGGTGACATCATACACTGAAAAGAAAGATTCAAAATGGAGCTATGAAAGAAGAAAAGCCTTTCAAAAATCTGTTCCCCCGCTTCATAACTAAAAACAATATAAAAAAATACGCAAACTATTACAAGTTCATGAGATTGATAAAAAGCATAATAATGAAAAAGAAGTGGATCTACTCAACCAATGAATAATTCTATCTATGATAGTTTACTAGAGTCACCTTAAACAACTCAGTATACATACTTTGCCTCATTGTCACGCCCGCTGTATAATGAACTCCCAAAAGGCGTATCTCCCCACCACAGAATCATAAATTCAGGGGTAAAAAGCATGTCAAAAAAATAAATAATTAAATATTAATTTGCACCCCTAACAAGTTTTCATTTTTTAATCTAGAATTCCTCACAACCCTTCTAGAAGATTTAGAACATGATATATACACTTCAAATAGTTCTATTTAAAAGCATAGCTCATCTTCAACATTATAATTACCGTATCTTTCCCTTCCCACCATACAGTGGGCCGTTTCCACACTGCATGAATCATAAAAATCCAAAGCTCATCCGTTCGTTTAAAATCATTTCATTTGAAACAATAAAGAACAAGAATATGATTGTCTTCTACAAAATTACATAGTTGTTAACGCAGATATAGCTATTTCGACCATACTGATAACTTAAAAAATTTTCCGAATAATCTTATGATAACTGATCATCACCGATAAAGCTTACCACATATGACACCTTGCGCACCCCGGTAGTAACTAGGAGTCAAAGTACGAAACCGCTCCTGACCAGCAGTGTCCTGAACAATGCAAAGGAAATAACAGTCTCTCGTTGTAATTTCACATGCGAACAAAGGCGAGGTTTTGGAAGGAATGTGGAGCACTGCAGCAAATTTACGAAACAACTGAACAATTGCTTAATTCTTCTAGCAGAGAGCTATTAATATGCCAACTTTTGAAAAGTTCTGATCTCCAACAAAAAGTGCACAATTTATAGCTAAAGCAAAGTATGAAAATTTTTTGATTCTCCATCTACAGAACTAGATGACAACCATATGACGTCAAAAAGATGGGTACGATCTTAACAAAAATGAGACTGAGAATATCACCTAAAAAGAAGTATACTGAAATGAAACTTTAAATAATGAAGAACTGACAAAAGTATGAGGAAAGAAACACAAATAGGTGGTTGTTCCACCGTGACTGTGGTAACTCAGATCATATACTCGAAGGTACAAAAAAATGCAACCGTTTGAAAATTCTAGGTGAGAATCGAAAGTGGCTTAAAATAGGGCAGTTGTGAATTTCCAGCCAAGAGAGTGCTTGTGCAGAAGCTGTAAATCAATATGATAATTTCTTCAAAAATTTCCCAGCTCTTCAGAAGGCAACCAACTTAAATAATACAAGTAGAAAAATTTCGCTAATAGTCTCAGTACTGCATAAAAAGAAACATATGAGGTACTCGTCAACTTCCACAATTACCGCGTTTCTTTTGCTTCCCACTCATACCAATTCCACCTCAAGTTTGTCCGCATGAGAAAGTACCAAAAATAATTAAACTGCGCAAAAGCACGAGTACAGCAGCACAGACAAGCTCTTTTTTCCCTTACAACAATATTTAAACTCGAACCCAAATAGCTAGTTTAACACGGTTCCCGTCAACAGACATATGAGCAACCCGAAAATCCACACCTGAAAACTGTTTCGCATTGAACTTAAAAAGTAAAACAATCAGCTTTTTTGCTTCTCTTACCAGTAATGCGTGAAAGGACTAAAACAGCAGATCACTGTAACATTAAAAAATAACCAATTATGAGAAGAATGAACTTTTTTACCGATAGTAGCAGCAATTTCGGGGTCGAAAGTGTCATCAACAAACCGAAGCATCAGACTAAAAAGATAGAAGTATACTAGCCAGATTTCGAACAAAAAAAAAAAAA